TTATCATTGATGATCATCGGACCGCACCACCACCACCACCACCACCATAATCATCATCATCATCATCATCGTCGTCTCCGTCTACATATATACTAATGTAATGGGTATATAATATGTAATGGTTGATGTGATGTTTGTTTGTATGCATGTATACATAGTCATACATCCAATTGATGTTTATTTAAAAGGCCCTTTTCAGGGCCACAAAATAAATCGTTGTTTAACGTATATATTTTATATAATATACGAACAGTTCCATCGATACGAGACGTCAATTATAATAAGTAATATTATTATGTATTATTATTTAACGTATGTATATGAAACTACCTAAGTATATAATTAATTACATATTATACAATTTCTTTTAAAAGCAATATCATGATAATAATAAATTAAATAACTGATAGTAATCTACTTTTCAAAGTCGATAGATAATCTCATAATGCTATTATTTATTATTAGTTTTCAAAATAAACAAAAAATAACACAAAGCATTTAATGACCGAACGGTAATTAGTGTTAAGTACAGGTAATAAAATAATAATAATAGGAAACACTGACATCATAATTTTTATGACTCTTCTATTGTTATTATTAAGTACATACTCTTTATTTAATAGACTGTTTTTACATACTCTTATTTTATGATTATTATGTTATGATTATTATTTTCAAACCGAAACCCCCCTCCGCCACCACCCCCCCCCCCCCCCCCCCCCCCCCCGCAGACGGAAAACACATCGGACCCCACGATCGGAACCGACGCTTCCTATTGGTCGGTCCCCGGTGTGGACGTGCGTGCTCGATACGTAACTACATACTTGAGCATAATGATACACACTAGACCCTGGGTTGGATATTTTTTTACAGAACAGCTTACAGTACTCCGTACCGAAAGCACCGTTGAAGTCAATCGTTGTTATAATAATATATCATATTATAATCAAACATGCCGCCTAAAACCAGCGGTAAGGCAGCCAAGAAGTCCGGCAAAGCTCAAAAGAACATCTCCAAATCCGACAAGAAGAAGAAGAAACACAAGAGGAAGGAGAGCTACGCTATCTACATCTACAAGGTTCTGAAGCAAGTGCATCCCGACACCGGTATATCAAGTAAGGCCATGTCGATCATGAACTCTTTCGTGAACGATATATTCGAACGTATAGCCGCCGAAGCGTCACGTCTCGCACACTACAACAAGAGATCCACCATAACGTCCAGGGAGGTCCAGACCTCCGTGAGATTGTTGCTGCCCGGCGAGTTGGCCAAACACGCCGTCAGTGAAGGAACGAAGGCCGTCACGAAGTACACCAGTTCCAAGTGAGGAGGAGAGGAAATGAAATGAAAAATATAATATAACAAAGGCCCTTTTCAGGGCCATTAAAAGATTCACATGAAAAGAATAATAATTTATTATTATTCCTTATATAAGTTTCAACGCATCGAACTAAACATCTCGTTGGATTTTATTATAATATTTTTAATAATTACATTAAATCTTTTAAGTTATGGCGTAGAGTTAAATATATTATATCATCGTCTTGCGATATCTATCTATGTCAGAAAATACATACTTATAATTATTAAAATCAATTTGGAATACGCGTTATAGACATTTAAATTAATATAAATGTTGTATACCTATATATTAACGTCACTGACAATATACATATATGTATATATCTATAACTACTATATACTACATATTATATTTTCTAATGCTATTACAGCGAATACGAAGACGACCGTGTCGATTTAGTGACCAGAAGCATAAACCCGAACCCCTCGAACGATCCCCGCCGACTGCCTCTACGGAGTACGTATATAAGAGCCGGTCGGTTTATTTACGGCTATCATTATAGTTCGATCCTCGCTGTAGTGCACACAACTGTAGTCCGTTGTTTCATCGCGTACCGTGTCAAAGTTATTTTTATCTCAATAATGGCTCGTACTAAGCAAACAGCTCGTAAATCAACCGGTGGTAAGGCACCACGTAAACAGCTAGCAACGAAGGCGGCCCGTAAGAGCGCACCGGCAACCGGAGGAGTCAAGAAGCCTCATCGTTACAGACCCGGTACTGTGGCACTTCGTGAGATCCGTCGCTACCAGAAGAGCACGGAACTTCTCATCCGCAAGCTACCTTTCCAACGTCTAGTGCGTGAGATAGCTCAAGATTTCAAGACCGATCTTCGTTTCCAGAGCTCCGCGGTGATGGCCCTGCAGGAGGCCAGCGAGGCGTATCTCGTAGGTCTCTTCGAAGACACGAATCTTTGCGCTATTCACGCTAAACGCGTCACTATTATGCCTAAAGATATCCAGCTAGCAAGAAGGATTCGCGGTGAACGTGCCTAAACGTCAATGAGTGTCAATTGTGTTGTTTCTTTTTATACGTGTATGTGTCTAAATAGTGGTGTGCATTTTTGAATAATGATATGTACATACACATTCAAAGATCATCATACGTAAATAAATAAACAACACGATAACAAATATTAATTAAAAAAGGCCCTTTTCAGGGCCGCATATATATCTGAATTAATAAGTTATCGTTTCATACAAACGAGAACGTCTAAACAATCATAATATTCCGTATAATATATTATTAAATAAAAATAATAATGTTAAGTTACGCATGTATGTGAGTACACAGTATTTATTTAACACATAGCTACAGTATTTAGATTATGTAAGTAAAAACACTTGTATACAATAAACTATGATGAGACGCACAAAGTTATTATCGTAAAGGATACAATAAAATAATAAATATGTACATGCATTCTGGAAACAAAAAGTCGTGATTGTCTTAGATGGCAGGAACTTCCATTGAAATACATATGTACATATACTGCAGGTGCCTCGCCTCTCTCACTGGTCCGTTCCTTTCTGAAAACGATTTATTGATATGTATTTTATTTTATTTACATATAATTAATGAAAATAATATTTATTGCAAAATTTTACTGAGACATTACTCTAGAGACATGCGCCCGCCGCGGGGTCCGGGGAGGGCGATACAGAGTACCCTCCTCCCCCCCAACCCCGGGCCCGTCCCCGTACATAACACTCGTACGGTCCCCGTCCGCCCCCCCCCCCCCCCCCCCCGCACCCCGGTACACGCTATAAAAAGGACGGTTTTGTGGCCCCGTACCGATTATACTCAGAGATCTACACGCGTCGCGCATCGCGATAGGTAACAATCGTGTGTGAAGAAACAATAGCATCAACTACACTACATCATGACCGGTCGCGGTAAAGGAGGAAAGGGTCTGGGAAAAGGTGGAGCCAAGCGTCACAGGAAAGTGCTCCGTGATAACATCCAGGGCATCACCAAACCGGCCATACGTCGTCTGGCAAGAAGAGGAGGCGTCAAACGTATCTCCGGTCTGATATACGAAGAGACCAGAGGCGTACTCAAAGTGTTCCTCGAGAACGTCATCCGCGACGCGGTAACGTACACCGAGCACGCTAAGAGGAAGACCGTCACAGCCATGGACGTCGTGTACGCCCTTAAGCGTCAGGGACGCACCCTCTACGGTTTCGGCGGTTAAAGCAGCAGCAGCAGCCATATCCTCCGATATACACACACGAAGACGACGACGTGATATAAAGCAGCAAGTGAAGAGTGTGGTGGTGGTGGTGATGATGATGATTCCAGTGTGTCTCTCTCGTGTGGTGTGCAGATCATCCTATTATTCTGCCCCCCTCACCCGCCGCCCGACTGCCCGACACTTCCTTCCACTCACTCTCTCTCACTCTCCCTCACCCTCACCCTCACCCTCTCTCTACTTACTCGCTTTATATCACGACGCGTCATCGTTACTGTTGGGGAACGAGGAAAAAAAAGAAAAAAGGCCCTTTTCAGGGCCGCATATGTATCCGTTGAAATATTATAATTATTCACGATTATCGTGAATATCGAATATAGAGTTTCAACGACGGAATAATAAACTATATTATTATTTAATTTATAGTATATAATAGTAATAATATAAAAAAATCATAACTATCTCAACACACTTATGTTCTCATCACTCAAATCACCTATGGTCGTCGTCCATATCTTATGTTCTAAATATTATACACATATTACATACATAATATTTAACAGCATTTTAAATAAATTTAGATAATCGATACCTACTATTACTAATAATAATAATGATGATACACGTATGTACCTCTGTCTCTCTACGTGTACATTACATACATACATACATTGCATATTATAATATGTACAATCATCATTTCGATAATCGTATCATCATATTCATCCGCTGCTATCGTACAATTATACAATAATATTATTCATAATTATCGAAAATTATGTCCTTATATTATATAATACATAACATAACGAAGACAACAACCACTACGAAGACGATTATACTATGCATTCGTGTACGCGGCCTTTGCTTCTCTCCATACTCTAACATCCCGGTGTGTGTTTTACGAGACCAGACTTCGATGCCGCATTAACAGTTCATAGATAATAAAAGACGATGATTATTCCATGGGCCTGAAGGAGTGATGTCTTCGTTTTCAATTAATCGATATCACATTACGCTATACGCTATTCTAAATGAGAAAAATAACTTTTAAACGAGACGTTACCTACGTCCCGAAAGGTATATAGAATTCAAACGTCTATTAATCTATGCTAACTACGTTTATAAAGTTATTTATTGTTCACTACGAAAGTTAGTTTTAAGATTAAACATATTGCATCTTTAAATTTATATAAACATATATATTATATTAAATAAAACATATAAAACGGATGGATGTTAGTGAAAAGTTAGAAGTGTTCGTACGTGAAAATGTTTAGCGACAACACGGTTCTCGTTACGGCATACCCGATTGTTAAATAACTACTAGCGACATCTCCGGCTATCATCATAGTTATATTTGTTTATAAACTGTGTCTGTGTGTCTGTGTGGTGTTGTGACCTGCTGAGAAGAATAATAAAAATAAAAAAATAAAAAACATTAAAAAAATGGCAGATACCGCAGTTGCATCTGAAACACCGGCTCCGGCTACGCCTGCGAAGAAACCGAAAGCGTCAGCGGCCGCCGCCGCCGCTGCGGCCGGCTCGAAGAAACCTAAGGCTAAACCTACTCATCCCAAGACAGCTGAAATGGTAAACAACGCCATCAAAGAGTTGAAGGAGCGCAGCGGTTCATCGTTACAGGCTATCAAGAAATACATCGCCGCTCAATATAAGGTCGATACGGAGAAATTGGCACCGTTCATAAGAAAATATCTCAAGAGCGCCGTCGAGTCCGGTGCCCTGATACAGACCAAGGGGAAGGGTGCTTCCGGTTCATTCAAATTGGAATCTAAATCATCAGCAGCCAAGAAACCGTCGTCGGGGGTGGTGGTGGTGGTGGTGGTGGTAAGGCAAGTGGTGGTTCCGCCGGAACCGGTAGGGCTGCAGCTTCGTCGGCATCCGTTAAATCTAAGAAAGCCGCCGCAACGGCATCGGCGGTGGCAGCGAAGGGAGGTAAGAAAGGCGGTTCCGTAGCTTCGTCGGCTGCATCTTCGCCGTCCAAAGCTAAAGCATCGGCGGCAGCGGCCAGGGATAAGAAAGCGGCCGCAGCCGCAGCAGCAGCTGCCAAAAAGAAGCCGGCCGCCGCTAAGAAAGGTTCCGCAGCCGCGAACGCCTCTGCCGCATCCTCCGCGACAGCTTCTAAGGCGAAAGGTGCAGCATCCAAGGCCAAGAAGAGCGCCAAACCTCCCACTAAGAAACCTAAAGCCCCGAAACCGAAGAAAGCATCCGCCGGTACCCCGAAATCGAAACCCGCAGCTAAGAAAGCAGCAGCAGCAGCGAAAAAGTAATAATTTTTGTATTGCTTTATCTATCGCGACGGCGGCAGCATCGGCACCGTGAGTGGTGAGCGCGCTCGGGGGTTGTAGACTTACGATGATACAAGTTCATTATAGATAAGAGATTCTAGATCATCGGAATGTCTCTCGGCGTCCCCCCGTACTCTTCAACGTTCGAGGAATCTACGAGAGTGACGTTCATCTTACAGGCACGCGTCGCAGATACGAAAGAAAAGAAAAAAAAAAATACATAATATATATAAAAGCCCTTTTCAGGGCTAACATATATTTCATTATGAACCCAATCATGTCGGAAACTTAGATTTCGACACAACGTTGTGTTCTCGTTTTCCGAATGACAAAGATCGTCTCTCTATAATAATAATAATAATAATAATAATAAAATATATAAATAATAATCGAATACAAGATAACATTCACGAAAATAGCGAACAATTCAGTAATAATATTATAATACGATAATAACAAAGTCAGTGGTGGCCAATTGGTTAAAAGGCCGCCCGCCTCTCATGCATGAGGGCGCGGGTTCGACCCTGGCAAGAATGACCAATGTGATTTTTCCAAGTTATATATTATGTACTTTCTTAGAGTATTTAGACATCACTCACTGATTAATGTTGATTCCCAAAGAGGGTTGTTGATATCAGGCAGGCGGCCGGTCATACATATAAACAAATAGCCAAATTATTCTTATAACATGTAAAACAGACCCTGGCTACAGCTGGAAAATTGCCAGGTAGAAGAAGAATAACAATACTGAATACATAGTATTAGACATATTAAACATTCTTGTTATAAATAAATAAAGATATTATATTATGTTGTTAGTATTATAGAAAATATTAGTTACATTGTACATAGCAGTACATAATTTTGATAATAATAATAATGAAAAACACCATATAAAACATAATAATGTAACACTGGTGACAATTATTTTCTTTTAACTCACTTTTGGAAACCTTTATGACTCTTGTACCATTTACGATCGAGTAATCGAAATCTTCAATAAAACTATAAGGAATGTATAAAACTATACTTTAGTACTATAACTATAAGGAATATGTAAAACTAAACTGTGTTCAAGAAACGGTAAATAAGAATTTATTAGCTGCACAACATAATATTAAAGAAAAAGGATATCGTATATAAATTTAAGTATGATATATATATATATATATATATATATATATATATATATATATATATATATATATATATATATATATATATAATGCTTTTCCCGCATCTGCTGTGCCTAATAATTCAGATATTGACTAAAGCAATTCATTTGTTTTTTTTTGTCTGTTTTCAAAATATATGTAATTAATGAATATCTTAATTACACCATATGAATTGATAAATTCCGTTTTTATTTGATATACTTACGCAGTTTATTGAAATTTCATCGCGTACGATTATTTCATTGAATTTCAAGACAAAATACTATTATTTTTTTTAGTCTATAGTACGATCCTCTAAAAAAAATGTCAACACTGATTGGAAAACCCTCCCGCTTCTCTCCGCGTCTACTTTAGCTCGTCATTCGTCTATATCCCCACCCCACCGATACGTGTAGACGTATATATAGTAAAGAGCCGCGCTACGGTTTTTTTAAATTACTCTCTGCCAGTCGCGTGTGTTACGTTATTATATCAAAAGGTTAATATATTCGCAACAATGTCTGGACGTGGTAAAGGTGGTAAAGTTAAGGGAAAGGCGAAGTCTCGTTCTAACCGTGCAGGTCTACAGTTCCCCGTCGGTCGTATACACAGATTGCTGAGGAAAGGAAACTACGCGGAGCGCGTCGGTGCCGGTGCTCCCGTTTATCTCGCTGCCGTTATGGAATATCTTGCTGCTGAAGTACTCGAATTGGCCGGTAACGCTGCCAGAGACAACAAGAAGACCAGAATCATACCTAGACATCTTCAGCTGGCCATAAGGAACGACGAAGAGTTGAACAAGCTTCTATCCGGTGTGACCATAGCTCAGGGTGGTGTACTACCAAACATCCAGGCCGTATTATTGCCCAAGAAGACGGAGAAGAAGGCCTAAAGGATTATCATTGATGATCATCGGACCGCACCACCACCACCACCACCACCATAATCATCATCATCATCATCGTCGTCTCCGTCTACATATATACTAATGTAATGGGTATATAATATGTAATGGTTGATGTGATGTTTGTTTGTATGCATGTATACATAGTCATACATCCAATTGATGTTTATTTAAAAGGCCCTTTTCAGGGCCACAAAATAAATCGTTGTTTAACGTATATATTTTATATAATATACGAACAGTTCCATCGATACGAGACGTCAATTATAATAAGTAATATTATTATGTATTATTATTTAACGTATGTATATGAAACTACCTAAGTATATAATTAATTACATATTATACAATTTCTTTTAAAAGCAATATCATGATAATAATAAATTAAATAACTGATAGTAATCTACTTTTCAAAGTCGATAGATAATCTCATAATGCTATTATTTATTATTAGTTTTCAAAATAAACAAAAAATAACACAAAGCATTTAATGACCGAACGGTAATTAGTGTTAAGTACAGGTAATAAAATAATAATAATAGGAAACACTGACATCATAATTTTTATGACTCTTCTATTGTTATTATTAAGTACATACTCTTTATTTAATAGACTGTTTTTACATACTCTTATTTTATGATTATTATGTTATGATTATTATTTTCAAACCGAAACCCCCCTCCGCCACCCACCACCCTCCCCCCCCCCCCCACCCCGCAGACGGAAAACACATCGGACCCCACGATCGGAACCGACGCTTCCTATTGGTCGGTCCCCGGTGTGGACGTGCGTGCTCGATACGTAACTACATACTTGAGCATAATGATACACACTAGACCCTGGGTTGGATATTTTTTTACAGAGAGAGAGAGAGAAGAGAAGGCACAATATTTCTCGTTTCATTCCGTCACCGTCCTTCGTCCGGAAAGTCGCTTGTATCAAAGCGACTCTCTCCGGTCGAGGTCCTCACTCAATGTGTATTCCGAACATCGGAATATTCGACTGGAGCTCGCTGCTTCGTCACGGCCTTCGTTCCGACACTTTAATTGTGAAGTGTAGTGTGATTGAATAGTGTTGCAGTGTTCAGTGTTTTAAGTGTAGTGCTGAGTGTTTTATTACAGTGCTGTGTCATTTTAGTACATTTAAGTGCGTGTACTCAGTGCGCGTCGCGTCAAGCCAGACGTGCTAGGGCCGCGCCCCGTCACCCGTACGAGGTAGGTTGCTAGGCACACACCCCGCCAACACCAGGCGGGACAGTTAGGCTTTTAAGTAGGTACACATCTCCCTGCCGCAAGGCAGGGAGGATTTACGTTTGCGCTTTCTCTCTTTTTTCCTTTTCTCTTTTCCCTCCGGGTCAAAATGGACCCCAAGAATATTAAGATGTCCGACCTGCTTGAGTATCTCAAGCAGGACTACCCCGAGGCCCTCTTAGGCTTCGCTTCCAAGTCCCTGGTAGGCGCAGCCCGCCCTTCCAACGACGCCTCCGATATGGAGTACGATTCTGCCTCCTCGGAGGAATCCTTTTCCGGCTCCGAGTCCGGGTCTCGCGGCTCGGACTCAGAGGAGGATGCGACAGGCTTCCAACCTGTCGTATCTAAGAAAAAGAGACGAGCGAAAGCTTCCCAAGAGTCGGATGACGCAATCGAAGCGTCACAACGCGCAGCGTCCCCACGCTCAGCGTCCCCCCGCTCTCCCACCCCCGTAACGGCCGCGTCCGTTAAAACCGTTGGCCCCCCCGCTACCCGCACCGCTCCGAAACGGGTAGCGTCTAGCAATACGTCGCGCCCCGCTTCCCCGGCTGGGAACAGCGCTCGCTCCCCCCCCGCTTCGCCTATTGCAAAGCGTTCTCGGCCCGTCGCGGCCAACGCCCCCGCCTCCGCCTCACCTGTCGTAGACGCTACGACGGTCCCCCGTGCGAAAGCGCCGCCGCCTCTTTTTATTAAAGAAAAAGAGAAGTGGGATAGTCTGTCCCAATCATTTATCGAATCCAAGATGCACTTCACGTCGGCCCGTCCGACCAAGGACGGAATTAAAGTTCAGGTTTCTTCCGCGGACGTCCACCGTAGGATGACGGCCCTCCTGCGGCAGCGTGGTATTGGATACCACACTTACGCACTAGAGGAGGAGCGTCGCCTTACAGTGGTGATCCGCGGGATGCCATGCGAAATCCCAACGGAATCCATACTAAGTGACCTTAAGTCACAAGGTTTCCCGGTCCAGGCAGTACACCGGATGTACCGCCCGACCAATAAGAAAGCCTTTAATATGGTGCTTGTCCACTTGGACAACACCAAAGAGGCAAAAGCCATTTTCAACGTAAACACGGTCTGCTACCTGTCCGGACTACAGGTAGAGCTCCCCCGCGGCCGCGGCATCCCTGGGCAGTGTCATCGCTGCCAATGCTACGGCCACTCCGCTAGGTTCTGTTACGCACGCCCGAGATGCGTAAAATGCTTAGGCGACCACGCGACGGTCGACTGTGAGAGGAAAACTCCCTCCGAGGACATCCCTCCGAGCTGTGTCCTGTGCCAGCAATCGGGCCACCCTGCGAACTATCGCGGGTGCCCGAAAGCACCGCGTAGGGCAAAGCGAGGAGGGAAGAAATCCTCGCATCAGCCGAAGGCTCATAAAGCCTCTGATGCGCCGGCTTCTGCCCCTCAGGCCCCTAAGGCCCCTCAGGCACCAAAGGCCCCTCAGGCACCTAAGGCCCCTCAGGCACCCACCCAAGGCCCCAACCGAAAACGCTTGGTTTAGGAACAAACCAGCAGTACCGACCGCCCCGGTACCCGCGCCGCCAGTCGCTCCTGTGTCAGCGACCGCGAAGGAACAAGACGGAGGGAACTCTAACCCTCTGTCCTTCCTCAGCGGACTCTCCGGGAGGTTCGATCCCTCCGAACTAATCATATTCGCAAAAAAAGTCAGAG